TATTTTAAGGCGTCCACCAAAATATTTCGGAAAAATATTAAGATTTACGTGAACTAGACCGATTTGAAAATATCTCCAAAAATGGAGCATTTTATGAAAAAAAATATTTTCATAAAGATTTTTTTTTAAATCCCCTCAAGTGACAAAACGGCTAAATTTTCAAAAATTTGAACAAAAATATTAAAAAAAAATTTGAAAAAATTTTCAATTGAATAGAAATATTGAGATTTTTGATGCTGTTTTTTTTTAACTTTTTTCAAAGACTGGTATAAGAAAAACTTGAATAACTGAACCTAAACTACTCCTATTTAGACTTGTGAGATATCATTGGAAAGGTATTTTCTCGCCCTTTTTATTTCTTTTCTAATAAACTTATTCAAAGGATGAAAGAGAAAGGTAGAATGAACGAGCATTATTCCAAGNGAAAGGTAGAATGAACGAGCATTATTCCAAGTTGAATTTAGATGTGTTGGTATATGAAAAAAAAAAATAAAAATAAAATTGGTACCCGAATGATTTTTTTTTTGCAGAGAAATAAAGAGTGAGAAAATACTTTTCTACTGGGACGTCATAAGTTTAAATCAGAATAGTTTTAGCCCAGTTTTCAAGTTTTTCGTAAATCAATCTTTGAAAAAAGTTAAAAGTTGATTTATTTTTTAAAAAATTTCTTTAAGAAATAATTTTTGTTCATAAGACACTACATTTTTAGGGGTATTTTATAATCGGTCCAGCTCACGTAAATCTTAGTATTTTTCCCAAATATTTTGGAGAAAATCTTTTATAATCCCGGTGGAAAAACCGTAACTTTTTTTTGGTGATGCAGTCTAATGTACATATGTAAGCAACAAATTTATGCTATTAGTGGCAAAGATCAAACTAATAATGTATCTATGTGACTCTCAATGGCCTCTTTGTTCACCTGTGCTATGCGTGAATCGTACCGCAAAGTGAAGGTGGATCGAATTGCCAACCCACTAACCGCTGCGACGACACATCATAGGCTGCAATTTTCCACTTATTAATCTCGCCGTACCACACTAATTTCCTTAATTTGTAAACACTTTAGTGGCATACGCTCTCTGTGTCATTGGTGTTTTTGTTGTTGGTGTTTGTGCCGCTCGCCATAAATTGCAACTTCATTTGTATTACAAAGAGAACAACAACAAAGGTGTTGTGCCACAACTGAAATTATGGCACGCTTTTAGCCTGTGTGTGTGTCTGTGTTTGTTTGTTTTAATGCTCATTTTTAAGTATTTTGTCTGCAAAACTCGTAGATTTTTTCTTCAAAATAGTTTTGTGAAAATTATGTGCTATTTCTTAATCAGCGAATGCGACTTTTAAGCTCGTAAATTTAAGGCTTGGCGTGTTGCTAATTCGTTTGTTAACGCAATTTTGTAAGATTTGAAAAAGGGCTAAATGTAACCTTTTCCCTTTTACTGTAAATTAAAGTAATTTTCGTACTTGAGTGTGTTCCATACGTAACTGAATATTTGCCTACATGGTTTTTAACACAAATACTTGTAGGCATGTAGTAGGCAAATATTTATGTACAGACATTAGGGTGGTCCAAATTTTTCTAAATCCACCACCCAGAACTGAAGAATTCTGAAAATAAAAAGGCTCCTATTTTTTATTCAAGTTGGTTAAAATTTAATTGTGCCGCCACACAGTGCTTCCCTTTTTCGAAAAATGTGAGAAAAATAGAATTATGGCAGATACATATAGAAACTTTTTTCTTATGGCGATTTCGTTTCTACAAAAGATGTTGCCTTCTCATCGCCCTCTTCTTAGTGTTTGTGCGTAGATGGCAAAGAGAGGGTTGCATTTTTCGGAAGAAACGAAATCGGTATTAGTAAATTTGAGGACTCTGAATTCAAAATTGCGATTTGTTTTTTTCTGAAATCACTTCTTGTAATATTTAGGTTCATCTAGTTCATTCGATTTTCAAAAATGACAATATTGGTCGAACAACGCTTTAGCTTAAAAATATTTTGAAGAGGGTTGCCACCGGTTTGTAAAGTGCAATGTAATCGAGTTATACAAAAGTTATGTATATATGAAGTATTAAAATATGTGCGTCGAACGAAAGAATGTTAAAAAATCCTTAGTTTGAACATATAGAATATTTTTGAGGTGTCTGGACAGGGTTGCCACCTATTTAAAAAGTCAAAATCTAGTTATTGAATAAGTTGCAGAAAAGTTCTAAAGTTCTGATTTTCTTGTGTGTGTTTTAGGCCACCCTAGTATACATATTTACATCCATATAAGTATGTCTAGGACATTATCGAATCGAAATGGAAAATAAAATTCTACATTCGTACGTAAGGAAAAATTAATTGCATTTTTTATCTTTTTTCGAAACTTTTTAAATTTTTTAAACACCTGTTGGTAACTTTTTATTTTTTTATCTAATTTCAGCAAAACACAAATACCGCCTGCAACAGCAGTAGTAGTAGCACAACAACCACAAGCAGCTCAAATGTAAATAATAATAATAGCCCTAATTCCACAACACTGACAGGGAGTTGTCGTCAATACAGTTCGGTGCATACACAACAACCGGCAGGGCCCGTGCGAGATATACAAATCGAACCTTACATCATACTCGATGATGATCTGAAATATTTCTACGATGATGTCAGAGACGTAAGTTTATAACTACGAGTAAATACATACATACATATATACGCATAAAGGCATAAGTGTTATGTGTGTGTTCTAATGCATCTATGAAGCGAACGATAAAAGGAAATGACGAATTATATAAAAATTTTTTTTATGGACGGTCGCTTAGCATTGCGCCTAATTAGGTGTGAAATAGGTAAATTATATTTCCGTAAATGGCTTAAAGTATGTAAAGGCTTTTGTGTTTGTAAGGTAATAAGCGTACGTACAAAGTTAGTTTATTCTATTTACATGTCTACACATTTCTGTACATTAAAAAAATGCATGCAGATTTTTTTTTATGTCTATGGAAAATCAATCGGCCAAATTAATTTGTTCCCTTCAAATGTCTTTATATATTTTCTAAATATTATCCCTTGACATCACTTTTTGGAAGCTTTAAAATATGCCTTTTGAGGGTAGGCAACCAGTGTTGCTACCAGCAAAATGAAAAATTTACTTAAATCGTATAATTTCAAAGTATATTATAAACAAAAGTTTTGAGATTATACAAAATTTATACAAGCTTTATTTTTTAACTTTATTTGAACAAATGAGGCTGCAAACCCGCATTGCTCTAAGGAATTAAAATTTTCTTCCAACAAGACTCGACATTTAAACTAGGATCCAAATGTAGATCTGCAAAATTTAAAATTCTGTTAAAGCGAGCCAGATGCAAAGCTTCCGCATAATGAGGGCCCAAAATGTTGAAAAGTGCGTCGCTAAAGTCGACTGCTACACTATTATATATGTACTTGAGACAAATTAAGAAACTCTTCGAAATTTCCGTGATCCAAATCCTTGTCACTAGGTTTAAAAATTTGCATTATCCAATAGTTGGACATAACCGTTTTCAAAAGTTTGTTACACATGGCTTTAATTTGTAAAGCAATGGACGACCTGATTGAAAAATTATATTCAACTTTTTCAGAAGACACATCGAGTATTTCATGAAATTAAGGTATACAAGGTATAAGGTTCATCAAAGGTTTGCGGAATAAATCCTGTCGGCAAAAGCCTGCAGTCGCATGTAGGGACGTATTGCTGCAGATTGCTCGCAACGCCTACACCTTTTGGTGGGTCTCAAAACTTTTTGAATTGCAAAATTGAAGTATTCTTGAAATTCTTTTAACTTTTCTTGATGAACATAACTTCTACTAAAATATGAACCAATTGTTACGATGACTCAATTTATACAAAGGTAGAGATTAAAATATTTTATATAAAAATTATACATACCTTTGTATAATTATACTGATTTCGTATAAGTGGCAACACTGGTAGCAACCAGTACTACGATTATGCGTTTGTCATTTCTCGAAGTAGTTGCGTGTATTGAAAATATACGAATTTACAATAGGGGTATTCATGATCCGGTGCATACTGTCTAGCATGGTGCATAGATGGCACAAATAGCTTGTTTGTTGTTGTTTCATGTGTTCAAACAACAACAAAATTATCCAATTATGCTATTTATGCTATCTATGCACCATGCTAGACAGTATGCACCGGATCGTGTTAAATTCTGGAAACCCATTGTCTGCAATTCCTTTGCTTTGATCGAATAATTGAAATGAGAATATTCATTCTCGAATTTTATATGGCGTACTTCATTTTTGAACATTGAATTACGAATGGAGCTGCTGTTAGAACATAGCATAACATTGATTGATTTCATTGAGCGAAACGTCAAATCAAAATGTCTCGCAGAGCAAAAATTTGGAAATTGAGTTAGCTTCATACGCAGGCCGTTCAATTTCGGTTGGTCCCATACAAGTTGTATGTGCCTGAGAAATTTTTGACAGTAAATTGTGGGCGTGCGTGAATATTAAGTTAGCCTGTAATTGATTAGCCAACATCAATAGCCTCGTTGATTTTATTTACATAAATACATATTTTCATTGATGTGCAATTTTTAGAGTTAATATCTTAGAACGCTGCCTATCAAATTATTGCGGTCAATAGACATCTTACCGTCTGGGCCGTCCCCGTTTATGGGAACATATACGAGAAAGTTCATTAAAGTTGGATCGTTCCTTGATGAATCCGAAGCCGAGACAATAAACTGACCACTCGGAATAATCAAGAGTAAAATGCACTTGCAATTCGCACGAATAGCTGACCTACGATGTACAGAACTTCAAAACTGCAAGCGGTAATCTGGTCGCACTACAGTAAATGCTCAGTTATGCATACTTGGCAATGCATCAGAGTTGCTACATAACCTAGTGATAAAAGTAGTAATACATTCCATGCGTGATAAATAATCGAATGTATTTCTTATGAGTTTTACATCTAATTACTTTTTATTATATAATCAGCATTCTAATGTATTTATTCAAAAAGTCCCAAAAATTTCATATTAAATTCCATTCATTTCTCGATACTAGGTAATGCAAAATTGAATGCCCCACTTTTCCAAGGACATCGCCTTGGGGGAAAAAGTGTATTTTCGAATGTGAAAAGTGTTGTTTTTCAGATTATTTTTTCGATTACTATACCTTACATTTTCCCACTGGCAGGGAATCTGTTAAATGAGCTTTGCGCGTAAGCGTTTAACCAACGCACAGCACTACATATCGATGGTCCTCTGCAAAAGCGGCACAACTCAAAACTTCATGTTTTTGAGTTGTATATTTAGTTTATAAATAGCCATATTTTTCTGTGGCAAATTTTTTTTTTGACCACTCTAATGTATGTACATATGTACATTTTGTTTAACACATATGTAAACCGTTGAGCATACATTAGCAGATACAAATAAAGTGGGATAAAAATTCATGTGTGCACCTGTTTAAGTGGCGACGGTATACAAACGCTGCGACATAAGACGTTACCAGAATTTAGATGAGTGATTTTTTTTTTTTTTTGAAATCGCTGCTTTGATAAAGGCGGTATGACGCTGTGGGAATTTTGCTAAATATTATATGTGATAAACACCACAAATGGATGAGTAAACTGTAAACTGAGTTTATTTTTATCTCGGAAATTTGCATTTTGGTTGGTTGCTTATTTTGTATGTATGTACACCACAGCCTTCAAATCGCAGTTAAACTAAACAAAAATAGTTGCAAACACTTAAAGTTTTAAGAACAGCTGAAAAGGAGAATTAAATTAAATTGTTAACTATTAAATTTTTGGTGCCTCTGACTAAAAATGGTATATTTTATTGTAGCCATTAGATTGTTTTAATACTTAGCTAAGACACATGAGCACAATTTTTAATTAAGTATAGTGCTTATCATAACTGTATGACAGTCACAAATTGACGAGGTTTGACTATTTATTTTATTATTTTTTAATTGTAGTTATTTTTTAAAAAAAAGTAGGTATGTATTTATTTCACTGTTTTTAATTTTAAGTTTATTTAAGTTTATTCTTTAGCAAAAACCATGTATATCAAAGTTTCTGTGTTTGTGCAATAGTAAACAAAAAATCAACAAACCTTCGTAAAAATTTCGAAATTTTAAACTAGATTTTTTAGAAAAAATTTTAGTAAATAGTTTTATAGCCCGTTAGGTTTTAGTATAATAGGGTGCAAGCTTGAAACAGCTGAGACTTGCCCTTGATTTATGGCAGTTTTTTTTTTTGTTGACGATGCCAGTCATTTTCTTCTATACATTTTTTTATATGGAGAAAAGGAGCAACACTTTCAGCAAACAAAAATTGCCAGAAATCAATTATTATACTAAAATTTAATGGATTTAACGGATCTTTCTAAGAAGCTCGAAATTTTTACGAAGTTTTTTTTTTTGATTTTTTTTTTTTTTGTAATATTGCACAAACACTGAAGCTTTGACTTATAAGGCTTGACTAAAGAATAAATTATACTTTTATGAAAAATTACTAAAATTAAAAAATAATGAAATAAATGGTAAAATCTTGTCAATTTGTGAGTGTCATATAGTTACGACAAACACTATGGTACTCTTATTATTTTCGCTTTGTAGTTGTATGTACTACTCTTACCTTACTACCTAAAGGTGAAAAGGTGCCAAGTCCTCTATTTTAATACGAAACTATATCGATTTTGCGACTCTCCTGAAAAATTAAAAAAAAAAAATGGATTTGGAACCTTTTCACCCATAGGTGACGATATACCTGTATGTATGTATGTAAACTTTTTAATATTTCGACTTATTTTCCTTTTCCTCTCATATATAGCTCCTGCGGCAGGGCACGAGTCAGTCTGAACTCGATAAAATCGCTTCGTACTACTTCGATGGCCAGGGCAAAGCGTTGCGGCCAATGGTTACTATGCTGATGGCCAGAGCGATAAACTACCACTTAAATAAGGAATCAAGGTAAGTTTTTTGCAAAATGCAATTCATAGTTTTTGTGTGGCATAGTAGAGCGGAACAAATTGAATGAAAATATAGTCAATTAATGTTGCTTAAATGAGAATAATAAAATAATTAAAATACGCTTCGCTTAACAGAGTACAAAATTTCATTGAAATGCACTTACACAAACAATTTCGCACAATATATGTATGTTTGTATGTAAAGTGAGTGGTTGCTATTTTTTTTTGCAAATTCGGTTAATTTTAGGAAAAAATATCTAAATTTATTTTTGCATCGCGTCTTTAGGTTTGTAAGTGAGTTTTTGCAAACGACCCCCCCCACTCACACACACACACACATTCCGTCGTGGTTATCATCAGCAAGGCGCGTCGTAAAAATTCATTAGTTTAAATGGGCGCACGGGGCGTATGAGTGATCTGTGGCAGTGGTGTTTATGCTGATGATGATGATGATGATGATGAACAACGTTTTCTATTTGCTTTGTTGGTAGTTTGTTTGCTTGTACCTAATACATAAACACACAAAAGCATACATTGTATGCAACATTGCGCAAATTGCACACCGAGCAATAAATCCGGCTATAATAACGTTTATTGAAGGTGGTTGTGGAAGGTTAGGCGTCCGCCGCACAGCAGCGGCTTAGTTTTTATTTTGTCTCTTTGTTATCGCGCGCGCGTAGTATTTGCTTCGATGCCCTTCTATACGCATTTTGGCCAATTGTATTACGCGATTTCGCTTACATATACATACATATGTTGGCCTAAGCATAACGGTGCTAATTAAACCAAAAATATTTTATTGAATTCGTTGCCGCTCATGCATTTCCCCTTCCAGCTTCCTACTTGTAATATACAATTTTTTGCAAATATATCTTTTATCTTTTATTTTTAATTAATAAATTTTTTTCCTTTTAGTAATTTGCTAAACAAACAAAGATTTATTGCGCTCTTCTCCGAAATGGTCCACTCGGCAAGTCTGGTGCATGACGATGTCATCGATCAATCGGATTTTCGACGCGGCAAGCCAAGCGTGAATGCGCTATGGAATCACAAAAAGGTGAGATGCTAATGTCAGTGATTATTTACCTATTTATTTTGCAAAAATGTAGGGTGTTTACTTTTTGCACAGCATTGTATGGACGACTGTAGTCAAGGTCATTGATCAAATAAAAGCTACGTATGTATGTATGTATGTATGTAGTAGCGTTTGCTCATAATATAAGAAGATATGAAAAATGAGTAGACTGAATGCTGAACTTAGTTGCTTTGTTAGTTTAAGAAACAATTTTATTTGTTATGCGAAGGTCGAATATTTTTGTGAATAACTCCCTATTTTGAAAGAGTGTTAAGCTTTTCTAATCGCTGAGTTAGTCCAGAAAATTTTGAGTATTCAACTTAAGTACAAGGCGCCTTTAAGCAGCCTGAAGCCATGTGTCACCTATGACCCGATCTCTGAAGATTGTAGGGATACATTTCCTTGTACATACATATGTAGTTCAGGTCGCCCCCCAAGGTCGCTCATTGTGTGACCACTTAAATAGTATTTCATATGTTTTAATTTTCTGACATTTGCCGCTCAGCCGGCATTGGCGTGTCTGCGGCCTAAGGATTTGTGGACAGATTCTGTACAGGGCCTGCTAGAGTCTTCTTGTATGTCAAGGAGAGCTCACATACTATACTGGCATAAATTAGAGCGATCTTTCAACTGTTCTAACTACTTCATGAATCGCCTTTTGAGTAAATTGTCCTTGTGGATATACATGCTGTGCCTGAGACATGCAATCGCCGTCGATTGCGTGTCAAGAACGGTCTCGAAAGTTTTGCGAACAAAGAAAGTTAAACAGATTGGACGTGAAAAGTTAGCTTAGATGTGCTCCAAGTTTTAGAACGAAAACTATATTCACTAGTTCGCACGCGCTGATAGGCTGGAGTAGTCCTTAGTCAATAATCTGTTCTGTATGGTTATATCCTCGACAATCTCCCAAGTCTCACAGTGGCTCATCATGGTGATTTTTACTTCGCTTAATGTCGTAATTAACAAAATGCCCAAAAAAGCACTGAAAACGAGAAACAATACAAACGGACATTATAATTATTTTTTTTTTAAACTAAATATCGATGTATTGATAAAAAAAAGTGATTCAGTCTAAAATCGAGAGATTTTGTAAAATGTTAACTTTTAATTATTTAGTAACATCACGAATTTGTAGGATATATCGAGCCTTAACCGCCAAAATAACGTAAGCGACATTTTTTTCAAAATTTTCTCTTTGATGCAGAAATGAATCTAGATGCTCTAGGAATATTTCTGCATTAAAAAGAAATTTTTGAAAAAAATGTCGCTTACGTTATTTTGGCGGTTAGGGCTCGATATTTTCTCGAGATTTTTACTCCAAAAAATTTTTTATAAAAGCTGCCTTAAATTTTAGTACGATAAAGCGCAAGTTATAAGTAGTTAGGAGTTACCGTTAATTTTTTTTTTGTCGACGGTGTTACGCATTTTTTCATAAAAATTAAGTATGTTAGACAATTTCTTGATAGGGAAGAAAATGAGCAGTACGTTGCACTTGCACTTTATTATACTAAATTTTAATGAGCTACAAAACTACAACGAATTTTTTTCCTTATTGTTTTGATTATAAAGTTTAAAATTTTGGTGAAAATTTGCAGAATTAATTCTCATAGTTTTTGCAAAGTCGGAAATTTCGATTTATATGGTTTTTGTTAGGAAAAGAGCTTTGCTTAGAAAAAATAATGAATATTAAATAAACAAAAGAAAAATAGCCGAACCTTGCTAAAATGTAGAATACATATTTTTTTTTCGCTGTATGTGCTCCTCGATTCGAAACACAGGTATTCAGACTGGTTCATAGGCATGCCATTTTAATGAGCTTTTAAGGCGTCGAAATACCGAACCCCGAATACCGGACAAATACAGGACATTAAAAGAAATACAGAACATTTGGCGTTCCGTATAAAATAAATTAGTTGCCTGGTCAGGACGGATGGTCACCGTAGTAAAAATTTAACTTCGTAGGTGGAAAAATTCAAAGCTTACTTGCCTAAATTTTGCTAAATACTAAGAAACCTATTTTCGCAATTTGACAAACTCCAAGTTGACTTTAGACTAGGGTGGTCCAAAAAGAGTAAAGTCGGAATTTTAATGCTATCACTCCCTAGGATTGTTCTATATCGAGAAGAACTATACCCCCATTTTTTTATTTTGAAATCAAAAAATATTTATATGGCGCTGGAAGCGCTCGGTTTCCATGTATTTTATATGGAAAAAAGCAACCTTTCGTTAAAATGGTATAGAATTCTTGAAAATGAATATCTTTCGATCGGAAGGCTCAGCTTCTCTTTAGCAAACTTTCAATAGTAATACCCAATTGTTTGTTTAACCATTTTTTAATACTATAAATTTTTTATAGGTTCCCTCATTGCATTTTTGGGGTTTTTGGGAGTTTTTGGCGGATCTAAAAATTGTAGTTACCATGAAAAAATAGTTAAATAAACAATTGGGTATTATTGTTGGGAATCTCATGCAGAGAAACGAGAGCTTTCTGATCGAAAAATATTGATTTTTGACGACTCTATACCATTGCTACGAAAAATTGTTTTTTTTTTTCCCCCATATAAAATACATGGAACATTTTGAATGCTTTGAGCGACCTCTAAATATTTTTTGATTTAAAAAAAAAATAGGGGTATATTTTTTTTTGGTATAGAAGATTCTTAGGGGTTAGAGCACACAAATTGCGACTTTATTTTTTCACATGAAAATTTGGTACCACCCTATTTTAGACCCATGGTTTCTTCGGCAAATTTTCTTGGAATTATACGTAGAATTCTTCTGTGGTATACGCGCATAGTCGAAAAAATCTCCCATACAAATTGGCGCTGAAAAGCCACGAGAAACAACTGCATTTATTAGATTCAACAACTATAACATATAAATTAAGAAACAATTAAATTTCGATTGCCTTACAATTGTTCTGACACTTTCGATAACTGCTGTCAATCAAAATGCTATTATTCACCTAAATAATTGTTTAATACTCCATAATTGCAGTCACTTTGCAACCCAGCAATTTTTCTAAATCGTAATTTACTTTGGACTTGTTTTGGTTATTTGCTCTGCGTCGCTTTTGGTTGTGACATCAAAATTTGCCAAGTGTCANCATGTCAGTGCAATTGCGAGCGATTACGAAATTTGGTAATGCATGGTGTGTGCTAGTGGCATTCGATATTGATCTCATGTGCAGGCCTGCACATCAAACGGAGGGTGTGTTTATGGTCGTAAACTTGCCCCAGCTTGGTGAGTTGAAAAGTTGACCACCTTGTTGGCACATTGCGGCGCTTGCTGTTAGGTAATTTTTAATGAATATTTACAAGGATTTTCTTGCCATGCGGAAGATATGTAGCTACCAGCAGAGTACCAAATAAATTAATAAATTGAAAATGCATGCTGTTTTAAGTTGTAATAAAGTGCCTTTTTCACACTATAAAAGAATTTTACATAGTTTTTCGAGTTAGCTGGCATATTAAATACTCAAATTAGTAGTATCCAAAGGATACAAGATGAAAAATTTGATATAAATAATTACTACTAGAGATGACTACCAACCTTGCCCTGCTCTGGTCTTGCACTAATTAGTTATCATCGTACTGGTTATAACATCGTTCTCACTCAAGCAGTGGCTTTGTTTTCTTTAATGCCGTATTCTGAGGTATACAGCACCCTATTGGATATAGATACATATGTATGTATGTGGGATTCAACAGTTCTCCGAATATAATCAATTTTATGTGCAAAATAAAGACACCCACGAAAATTTCAAAATAAAAAAAAATTAGGGATCGCTGGCATGGTTTGATTTTTTTTAAATCACAAAAATTGGACAAAATTTTTTTTGCTCAGCTATAACTCAGCGAGTTTATGAATTTATATAAATAACTTTAAATTCATAGAGTTATAACTGATCAAAGTCAAAACCTGGTAACAGTTTTGCGATTAAAAAAAATTAATCTATAATAATCTATTTGCTTAAAATTTTGAAATTTTCATGGTTGTCTTCATTTGGTACGTAGAATTTTTTGTATTTTGAAGAACGTCTTTAATGTCTTTCCGGCATTCCTTCTTTATATATTTTTATTTTATTTTAGAGTAGGGCTGCCAGGCGACCTAATTTTCCAGGATTTGTCCTTGTTTTAGACAAATTGTATGGTGTCCTGTTCCACACCTAAATTGTACTGTTTTTGAATAAAGGTTAATGCAGACACCCATTTAATTTTTGGCATATTTTTGCTATGGAAAAAAGGGCAAGCTTTCTGTTAAAATGCTGAACAATGTCTGAATTCAGTCTGGGTCTCCGAAATGTGAACAATGCATCTAGCTGTCATGTGGTTAACTCATCCCCATTACCTCGGTTCATGTTTTTCTGTTTTATTCGGCTTCATTGAAATTTTTTTCGGTCATATATCGTTGCCTTAATATAGAAAGGCCCTATCTCACATCGTCGCTGAAATGCACAAAGCCGTAACTAACTAAAATCTTTTATTGCATAAAACGATGTGAGGCCACATAATTCGATCAAATGCATCATAATCAATTAAAACGTAAATTTTCAATTTTTAGTTAGTTACGACTTTTTGTAAATCAGCGACGATGTCAGATAGGGCCTTTCTATATTAAGGCAACGATATACTCTTTATTGAAGTTCTCTTTTTTACACTGCGCTCTTCTCCGTTCTCTTAAGGGTATACATTATTTTATTTCCATTTCATTTCGTTCCACTTCATTCCCCTCTTTGTTTTCTTTAAACTTTTTATACTGTTTTGAATTTCGTTCCATTTAATTTCATTTCTTTTTGTTTCAGTTAATTTCATTGCATTTCTTTTATCTTATACTTTTCCATCGCCTTCGATTTCGTTTAATTCTACACTTTATATATCTTATAATTTCCTTCGCATACCATGGCATTCCATTGCAATTCATCTCCATTCCATTTTAATTTTATTGAAATTAATTTAATTTAATTGAAATTATTTTAATTTAATTTTATGCTATTTCCTCCCGTTCCCATTTCGTTCCATGCCATTCCTTTATATTTCCGTTTCATTCCATGCTAAATCATTTAATTTTATTTCACTTCATTTCTTTGCGTTCCATTTTATTTCATTTCGTTCCATTTCATTTTATTTCGTTCCGTTTCATCTCATTTCGTTCCATGTCAATTCACTTCGTTCCATTTAATTTCCTTCCGTTCAATTTCATTTCATTTCATTTCGTTCCATTTCATTTTGTTCCATTTCATTTCGTTTCTTCACGGCGACGAAAGATTGTTACTCAAATGGCTTTGGTCAAATTTTTTTTATATATCACAAACAATTACATGTCAGCACTAGCCCATGCTAAATAATATCGCCCATCCACCTTCAAAAACATAAACTCAAATGTATTCCGCAATTTTAAAATCAAACAAGAAGTCAAATGAATTTTGAACTTAGATTCGATACAGTTATATAAAAAAAAAACCATAAAAATAACTATTAAGTGCAAAATGTTAAACGAAAACGCAAAAAAAAGCAACAAAGGGACAAAAACATTTTCAAAAAGACGGTAAGTTTACACTTTGCATGGCAAAATCGCAAAATTACGCAATGCGTGTAAATGACCAAACCGATCGAATTAGCTACGAGCAGACAAGGTGCGACAGCGGTAGCTGAATGGTTGACAAGCAGCAGACAGCATACAGCAGTCAACAGAGGTGTTCAACTCGCTTGCTAATCATTGACATGAGTTAGTGCACGTACGTCGTACGTACATACCGTACATAGACATATGTATACATATATGCATGTACGTAAAGAAGTTATTTAAGTAATTAGTTACAAATTTGTGGTATTTTGAAGCCAAGAAGTTATGAAGAATTTAAATTAACTAATATTGCAGTAATAGGTTTGTGTAGTTTCCCTGCAGGAAATTTAATTAATTTGGAAGTAATTTATAAACTACTTTATTTTCAATGCTGACTAAATGAAATTCTCACTATTTTACCAGCAACGAACTCATTTATTTAACATGGCGAAGCCCTCAATTGACTTTTCCTATTTCATATATTTTCAACTAATTTAAAATGCATTTGGTTTAAAGAACTTCAAAGTCGGTCTGATAAGATCCTTATTGCATCAAAGTAAATAAACAATATATATGCGTATATGTATGAGTATTCGCAGTAACACCGATGACTGGTGTCTTCACTACCCGCTGGCCTGTCTACTAGCCTGTTAAGTAAATAGTTTCCAGAAATCACAATTTTTACTACAAAATTGTTTGCTGCATACACATACTTACGTACATATGTACATATGTATTTGGTACTTGAAAAAAAATGAAACGAATAAGGTATTTGAAGTTGTTGTTATGGTAAAAAGGGTGCCTCTAGACCAGAGCACTTTACACTTTTCTGCCGCTTTATTTAAAATATACAGTAATTGATTTATGATTTACTGTGATGACTAGCAAAATAAAAATATATTCATCATTTAGTCAATTATTTACGGAAGTTATTCAGGTCGTGCTAAATGTAAAGTACTTCAGATTTTCAATAGCATCCATCACTCGTCGATTATGAATGAGTAAATGTATATAAAAAAAAAGAATAATTTAAATTTTTTGATTCGTTATTTTTGTTTGTGATTTTACAGGTTACAATGGCTGGTGATTATATTCTCTCAATTGCATCGATTATGATTGCGCGTCTGAAGAGCGACGATGTGACGATTGTTCTAAGTAAGGTGAGTGCGAAAAAATAAACAACGAAAAAAATGTTACTCAATAGTACGATTCCGTCTAAAGAAAACACTTCAACAGCGCACTCATAATGTGTCTCACTTGAGATGCTGTCGAAAGGTATCATCTAGTTGCAAATAACTTGTGTTTATTTACATACATACTTGCAAGCACACACGTCGACCTTTTTTCTCAGCAACTTAGAAATTAGTGTCTGAGTTTGCTGACGAATCGCGAAAAATATTTTAGAAAATCCCCTTGGCTTATTTGTTTAGCCTTTGTTATCTAAATGTTTATGATGCATCACAAAATGCCTAATCCCAGGTGCTAATTAAATTTGGTATAGTTTTCTGGGAAATTAAAAAAGTTATTAATACATTTTTTTGTTAAAATAATGCCTTTTCTCTTGCATCTCCTACGATATTTTATTGCCTAATTTGCTTGCGAAATTTTTAATACCGTTTTGGACTATAAATTATACCCCTGGAATAAGTGATTAGATGTGTTGTAGGTGGAATCCCCATTCGATGACTGCTGTTGAAATTTAGCAATCGCTACGGTGAATTATACCGAATTGTTAAAATAATAAGTATTAGTAAAACAAGCATTATTGCGTTTAAAAAGTAAAATATAAAAATGTGAATATCTCGAAAAAAGGATCAGCTACGATTTTGATCTCGATGGATTTTGAACACACAAATGATGTAGAAAAAGGCTGCAAAAGCCGATTTTAGGCACACTTTTATAAATCTTAAGACTATTTTAAGACCACCGTGCATTAGTGAACTATTTTGCCATTTGGAGGGGAGAACTAATAAAGGGAGAAAACAAAAGGCTGTTAGCAATTTGTTTTCGGAACTTTTCAGCAGATGAATTCGGATAGCCAGAACTTTCAGGTTTTCAAATGAAATTAAGATAATTTGGTAACATTTTCAACCAGCCACTGTTTTTCTTTAGAAGAAATATTAAAAAAAAAAAAATCAGCATTCAAAGTTTTTTAAAAGAAGTTTATCTACTTCCTTTTCTCATCTTTCGCATTAAAAACGAAAGTCCTTCACAATTTGGGGAATCATTTCTTCGAGGCGCTGTACAGCTTAGGCACCGTCTCATTGGAAAGGCTGTCTCGATTTTTTAAAAGATCGGGATTATTTAAAGTCATATATGGCTAGGTTATTAGAGAAATCTGCCTGTCTGAACCTCTGTTAGCATCGACTCTTGGCAAGAGAAGTCTGCCAAACCCAGCCTTACCTAACTAAAAAAACTAAAAGTGATTTATGAGTGGTGCCACATTTTCCACTTATGAGAATTTGTTGTTGTAACAGCTTACAAAATGTTGCCTTGGCCAGTTCTAAATTCGGATCGTTGCGGTTACATATGTACATATATAAATCCGACTGGAATTTGTGAGAAGTATACAGCCATATGGTGTGTTGGTCTCTTTACAACTTCTTAACCGAAACTTTATATAGTATATACATACGTTAACTTGGCACGCGAATTGACCTTCACAAAAAAATACGCATTGGTGTAGGTTGTTAAAATACTTAATCATTTAGGCTGTTAAGATACTTCATCATTAATCTTCCATTCATTCCATGTTGCACTTAAGAGGCATTTCAAAAGTTACATATGCACCATACATACATATGTTTCCACAAATAAGGCGAAGTTAATTGCGGCAGCTTCCTTTCAAGGTTGCCGATAAGAAACTGAAAATTCTATAAAATGCGTTCCTTGTACTTTCCAAAGAATATATGTATGTACATTCACGCTTAATTTTTTGTGCATACTGAAATCCTACAACGACACCAACAAATCGGTTATCTGTCCCAAAGATAGTAATCCAAAAACCTGAAATGCAGACTGCTTCCG